TCTATCTATCTATCTGTCTATCTATCTATCTATCTAATATATATAAGAAAAAATGCTTAAATGAAACTATTAAGTGCAATTAAATGAACAGTGGCTTAGAATAAGCTTAATTTGTCCACGCATAGTTTTCTTACATGGGCACTCTTGGCCTCTTTTTTTATTTTATTTTTTTTTTAAATGTTAAATTCAAATACACAATGTTCGATATTGTTTTGTTGTTTTTTTTTTACAAATGGAAACATTTCTATAACACAAGTATTTTTACACATGAAGGGATCTGTACTATATCATTTCATAAATATGTTTTTTATGTTCTAAGAATTTTCTTTCTTTCTATCTTTTTTTTTTTTTTTTTTTTTACTGATGTCCCTACGTGTTTGCTGTGATATTTACTGTTGGTGCTATCCCCCCGCTGTTGTTGTGAATTCAACTGACAAATGACTTTTACACACTTATGAAATGAGCTCCTTCAAGTTTAGTAAAAACGGTATTTCAACACTTGAGCTTTCGAGCTTCTATTTTGAAGGGCGGTTGAAAACGTTGATGCAGGTCCGCAGGTTTATGTAGCTCGTTTTAACGTTATTCTTTAGTAATTGCACAAAATAACGAACGAAAATTATTCGTGTTAAGACACACGTAAAAAAATACAAATAAAATAAAATACCACAAATAAAATCAAACTGACCAGTTTGACTCGTTTTTCTTTCTCACAGTGCCCCCTTGTGGCCGTGACGCGGAACTGCGGTTCCAACCGCGACAGAGGAAGTTACGGTTAGTTCGTTAGCCTGCTAACTCGCTAAAAAAAGTAAACAAGTCTGTCGCATGAGATGATTATTCAACCGCGACACAACGTAGCTTTTCAATTATGAAAGAAGACAAAGAAAACACACGACCAAAGGAGAAAAGGGTGGAGATAAAGTGTGACGATGGAGAAAAGATAGAGCGAGCCAAAGAAAAGAAGGAGGCCATGACAAAGGTAAAACTTGCTAGCTACGTTAGCTAATGTTGCAATAAACCGCCAATTAAGGATATTAAGAGTTTATTTAAATAAAACTAGTTGATAATACTTGTGTCTTCTCGTTTCTAACATGCGCAGTTCAGTTTGTAAATTATATAGCAACTTGAATTTGACGCCACCCCAACTTTAAAATAACATTAGCTGACAGTTGTCTTTTCTTCACAGTTTAGTTGGTAATAATTTAATCCGTTACTAATCATTCCCCAGATTGTGATCAGACGATTACCGCCAAGTCTGACCAAGGAGGAGCTGGAGGAGCAGCTGCAGCCTCTCCCAGAGGTGGACTACCTGGAGTTTTTCTCCAATGACACCAGGTGAATTGACCTGTACTGACATTTTAACACGAAACTATTATCACCTCCAACCGTTTGATCTGACCCTGGTGTTTTGTCCTTTCAGCCTTTACCCTCACCTCTTCGCAAGGGCTTACATCAATTTCAGAAATCAAGAGGACATAGTGCTCTTCAGAGATCGATTTGATGGATATGTGTTCATTGACAGTAGAGGTATAAAGAGCATAAAATAAAATAGACAGACACATTTATGGATTTTCATAGAAAGGTTAAGAAGTTTTGACTTTGTCCACATGTTGTTTTTAAACAGGTCAGGAGTATCCTGCCATTGTGGAGTTTGCACCCTTTCAAAAGACTGCCAAGAAAAGAAGTAAGAAAAAGGATGCAAAATGTGGAACAATTACTGAAGGTAAATATATTTATTGCAAAAGTAAGGGATGTTGACAAATGGTGGTTCAGTTTAGTGGTACTTTATTATCATTCCTAGCTTGCAACTTACTACCAAAATTGACCATCTTCATGAATCTATTTGCTATTTTCTTTGTTGTTTTTTGAGTTAATATTAAAGGAAGGAGGTCTTTACCATAGATATATATAATAAAGGCCTTTCTTATACATATCTATGGTCTTTACACTCTTTACTTCAGTATAGTTTTAAAGTACTCGGCACCATATTAAGACTCAGAGAAGCAATCTTATTAGTAAAAGCAGCATGTCTTTATTTGTATCTTGTGTACTTCTTTCAGACCCTGATTACAAGAAGTTCCTTGAATTTTACAATGGAGATGAAGAGAAGTTCACATCCACACCAGAGACCCTGTTGGAGGAGATTGAGGCAAAATCAAAAGAACTTGTTGGTACGTTACCAGGCCCCTAAAACAAAAGGTGCATCTTAAACATTGCTGTGTATATTTTCAAGCAGACACACTACAGAAGGCATAATTGTTTACTTTTTGCTTCCTTTAAGCCAAAAAGACAACTCCTCTCCTGGACTTCCTGAAGAATAAACAGGTGAATAAGTTCTGTGGCAAAACATGGTGGCATTCTAAATGTGTCTGTTAAGTTTCCTGGTGTAGGCTGTCCTCACACATTCTGTTTCAATGTTGTTCAGAGGATCAGGGAGGAAAAGAAGGAGGAAAGAAGAAGGAGGGAACTTGAGCGCAAGCGTCTACGCGATGAGGAGCGTCGTAAGTGGAGGGAGGAGGACAGGAGGAAACGCAAAGAGGCTGAGAAGATGAAAAGACTTGAGAAGCCGCTGGAGAAAGACAAAGACCATGTTAAGGAAGAGCCAAAAATTAAGGTGAGTGCTTTATATAGAATAAAGCATTTTGAAACTGTGTGTAATTTCCACTGTGTCATTATATATTACTTTTGTCTTTATTTTTAACGGTGTAGCTCCTGAAGAAGCCAGACAGAGGTGACGATGCTGATTCTGAAAAGCCCAAGGAAAAGCCCAAGAAAGCAGAGAAGCCAAATAAAGAGGACAGATCCATGGGGAGTGCTGATCACAAGAGGCGTCACAACATTGAAAACAAAGAGGATCGAGGGAGGAAGTCAGTTGCTTCACTTATTTCTTTGTAGACACATTGCTCGCTTTGAACAGAATGCTCAAACGGGGTTTGTGTTTTACACACAGAGGCGACGAAGACGGGCGGAAGGAGTTCAGGGAGCGTGACCCCGATCGGGACAGAGAGCGGGAGAAGGAGCGGCGGCAGAGAGAGAAGGAGCGCATCCGGCGTCAGGACGAGGACCGTCGGAGGAGGAGAGAGCGACAGGATGGAGAGAACTCGTATAGAAAGCGAGAGGACGAGGCTGAAAAAGAAAAAGCCTCGGAGAAGAAGAAGGGCGAAAACATGGCAGACTCGTCACACTCTGAGCGGCCGGAGAAGCCTCCCAAAGACAACAAGAGGGATGACGGCGGTAAGAGAGAGCGACTACGAAATAAGGTAAAGGCTCTTTGCTCTTAGGTCATCAGCTCATATCTTGCAATAACATTTAAGTGTCTCTGAGCGGGGCTGTTTCTTTGCATCAGGACCGGCCTGCCATTCAGCTGTACCAGCCGGGAGCCCGGAGCCGCAATCGAGTTACAGGGGGAGGAGCTGAATCCAACTCTGCCGACAGGAAGCCAGACACAGAGACTAAGAAAGTGGCTGAGAAAGAAGTCGACTGAGCAGATTTTCCACTTACGGCATTTACAGTTTGGCGAGGAGAGGGGAGACAGGCCTGTGAGGCTCAGAGCAGCAGCGTGGCGTCTCAGGGCCACATGCACTGCAGGTCAAGCAGGGCTGCATCCAGCTCTCCCAGTCTCAGAGGCAGAGGTGTGTTTGTGAAGCCTCTTAGTGCCTGAACGTGACCCTCTTTAGTTTTATTTGTTAGGAGAGGTACCAGTAACCTTTGGAAAGAGTTTGGTTGTAGGGCACATTAGGTGAAGCCAAAGCTTTCTTGGACCACGTGAACTCAAAGTGACCTTACTTCAGTCTTGTTTCTCTGATGTGAAGTGTGAACTTTCAGTTTGATCATCAACATCGCACTCTGGAGGTGTGAAATACCTTAACAGGTGTTCAGCCTCCTAATCACTCAGTGTATCTACATTGCCAAGTTCTTCATTTTTGTTTCTATGCTGTCTTAAATGAGATTTCTGTTGTAGCATTGCCATTCTCAGTTTGAAGTGCACACATGGAAATTTCATTCTACTCTGTCAGCAGTGCTTGAGAGTCCATATGTATGTACAGAAGCTTTTCATCATTTGTTGTTCTAAAATACCTTACCATAATCTGTATTTACCCGAGCTGGGATTGTGTGTGTTTTTCATTGATCCATACACTAACGGAGGAGAAACAGCCATTTCTGACTAGACTGCCATGTGACCGCCATGCCTGCATGCAGACTCGAGATGCAAAAGTTGAATAATCAGAGTGATTAACCTGTGGCCTTCACCCTCTTTTTCTAGTATGAAACTCTCCTTAAATATTAATCTGTGATGCACTAAACTGAATGCAGCATGTAAACATATCACTGCTGGTAATGCTAACATACAGAAGCCACTTTTGATTGGAAATAAAAGGATGTTTGCTAAACTGTTTGTCTTTTTGTCTCTTTGGTGAAATATTGAGTCTTAAAATTCAAGAAAACTTTTATTATACTTGTAGTCTTTTAAAGGCGGGGCATTTTGAGCAATAGACTTGATCCTCTGTGCACGTGAAATGAATTAAAGCATCGCAATGAAAGCTTTACAGCACAAAATATGCAGAGAATTCCAGTTGTGCAGACTGTACTTACTCCATTATAGACACTTATTTATTGCTACCTGTAATTGCTCATTAACTTAAGTATTTGTACAGATTAGACAATGGACGTATTATAACTATTCTTTGCTCCAGCAAAGATGTCTGTGCTGTGTCTCCTTCAGTTTATTTAATGCAATAATAGAGTCTGGTGGTGTGCATGGTCGCTGCGGCCCCTTCAGGAGACAGCGAGAGTGAGCGTTTAGTGCCTTGCCTATCCCAGATGTGCATTCTGCAAAACTTGCTGGTTGAATGATCCTGAAGAAACGCTCTCTCATCTCACCTGTACTACTGTGTATGTACAGCAAAATGACAATAAACCTGATTTGATTTGAGTCCAATCTCTTTGGAAAAGTTGATTTTAAATCAAAGATTTTTTTGAATATAAGTCACCTCATATCTAAATTTTATAGTGATAATATTTTAATTCTGAAATATTTATTTGACTTTGGACAGAAAGAATTTCTTTGTGTACATTTTTGAAATGTGCTATAACACTGTGAGAAAAGATTCTGCTTTTGCCTTCCTGAATTTAAAGTAGTAATAAATTCATTAAAAAAAAAAACTCATGATATCCTTAACAACATATATTTTATCATAGAACCACAGTTTAAAAGAGGAATTTCACCAAATTCTCCCAAATGTAAAACTCATGTAGAACGAGATTTAACTGTGTGTGAGAATGCAACAAGATTCAGATGTTAACATGTAAAACTATCAGGTTGGATTACAAACCAGACAAAGCTGGCAACTGCCCAGAACCTTCAGACCATGAGGGCCTCAGAAACCATGTCCACTCCTTATATCCCTGGTGTGTGTAATATGATTAATTTCAAATTTGTCAGAAATCTGCACCACTGAGGTACAGCATCAATTTCTGGGTACATACATACTTTTACCATAGAACGGCATCATGGTAGTTCTAAACCCTGATTCTATTTCTATGACACAAATGTCAAACTTCTGGGGTGAAAAACAAGGACACTGCAGTAATGGATGGACTTAAGTGGACAACAACTTGAAAAAAAAAAAAAGAGAGACAACATTTTTTCAATGATGCGCCTTCTTTCTTAAAAACAAACAAAAAAAAACCACACACAATGAAATACAAATCTAACAGACTATTGCACTGCCCGCCTCTATGTCTTGTCTAACAACCGTCTGCTTGGTGTCGCTGTTTGCTGAACATGGAACTTGTTTCCTGGACGCTGATTGGTTAAAACGCTCGACGTCACTTCCTTCTCTCTCTTCGACCACCGCCATAGTGGGGAAAGGACTGTGGACAAAATGGTAAATACTAAATCTTATAACATCCATGCCATCAGGCATCATAAACTTACTTAATTACGTTACGTGATGAATAAACATATCAGTGGTGCATTAATAATCTGTAGTTGGCCTGAAAGAATGAAATGTGAGGATATTAAAGCTCCTCAGCGATGCTAGCCGGTACTCTTTCTGTGGAGCTACGCATGTTAGCCCAAAGCTTCCTGCGTAGATGTTAGCCGCGAGCTCGCTCACTTTAGCGTTGTGAGCGGGATAAATATGTTGGTGTGAAGACGCGCACATATATCTTTGGACAGAATTAGTGTTGACATGGTGCTGACGTTGCTCTTTACTGTTTCCAGTCGTCCCACAAGACTTTCAGGATCAAGCGCTTCCTCGCCAAGAAGCAGAAACAGAACAGGCCGATTCCTCAGTGGATCAGAATGAAGACTGGCAACAAGATCAGGTGAGGTTCTGCTGCTCAGTGCATCATATCAGACAATGCTCCCCTGTTTCTGAAGGACACAGTCTGATCTGAAATGTATTCATGTGTATCGTCATTATAGCAAGCTGAAACAATTCTCAAACTCTAAACTATAACTGTTACTTTTAGCTGTTCAGATGCATTCAGAAAGTAATGTCGCCTCTGAAACAGACAGCATTATTGATCTGCTCATTTGTTTTAATCAGTTTAATTCTCCTATGCAGAATAGTCTTTTTCAGCAGTAGTTACACTCCGAGTAATGTTTAGCTCTAGATAACATTTGATTTTTAAAAGTAGGGCTGCACAATATATTAAGCATTAGCATTGAAATGTGTGAAATAATTGTAAGTTCACTCATACATTGTGCTACGTTTTTTTCTACTTGAAACTCAGAGAACTCAATTAACCAATGTACAAGAGAAGGCTGTCTGAAATATCTAGATTTCCACATTTGTTGACATGCATGGTCTGCATATAATGAGAAAGGAAGAGAAGTGCTCAAAATTAACATTTGGTTGCAAAATAACTTGCAACATGAGTTTTATGGAAATATTTCCCCCCCAAAAAGGATGATACTGACCAAAAACAGGTACTCTGATTACAGTATTTTTTACTACTACTCAAAGCAAAACGAATAATGTATTTCACCATCAAAATCAGCACCACAAAGCCGACACAAATTGAGTTCCTCAAGTCATTTGACAATGTTTTCTATATAGCATGAAACACATAACGATGTTAGTATGTTGTAAAATCTTGCAGCCCTCTTTATAATGAAGTTGTTTTAAGTTTCATTTATTCCTAGATTTACCTGTGTACATGCAGTTTTCAGTTAGCGATGTACACTAATGCAGTCTAGTATTAACAATCTGCAATGAATTTGCCTCTGTGAATGTTAGCCTGTTTGTGTTGAGACTGTTTTAGAAAGTGTTTCATTTAAATGATGTAGTGTGTGGTGCATTTAGATTATATTGCATTAAACTGACATATTTCTAATGTTTTGCTTTAGTATAATGCAATACATTCCAACATGACCACAAACTTTAGCTTCCAAAAAACCTTCAATTTAAACATTTACATTCTAACTTTCATTAGCGTACATTTATTATAGGGCACTGGGAGGCATTATTTTAGCTAGGGCAACCAATTAGCAATACACGACACCTGAGTTTATAATAGAAACTGAAGTGAATAGAGTGAAATGCCACATAACTTCAGCAGTAAAAGTTTCAAGTGCACTCAAGAACGTTCCTTTAAAGTGTAGACGATGGCTAAATCTTAGAAGAGCTGAGTGTTTGTTTTAATGGTTTTAAAATTGCCCTCCTTAACTGTACTTCATCGTTGAGCTGTCATAAGTGCAGAAATACCTGACTAATGCACGGAAGAAACAGGAACTCCATGTCGTGTAAAGCAGGTCTGCAATTGCAGCTCTCCTTTGCCAGTAGAGTGCTGTCATTAACCCTGCTGAGAGCATGTTTCTGCTGTGGAGCTCGTTCTCCTGCTCACCATGCTGGTGATGAGGAAGCTCTGTAGCTGAACACTGCAGCTGGACACACAGCTCGCTCAAATGGCCAATCCGTACACCAAATTGCTTTCCTGAAGGATTTCCTTGGTATCGGTCTGTTTGTGTTATCACAGTAATCTGGGGTAATTACTGCAGTAATTTAGTGCTTTTAGAAACTGATAGTGGCTGTAATTGTTTATTCAAAGGACAGTTAGAAGGATCCAAAGCCTTTTAAATCACCGTCAGTGTTTGCGGTGACTTCAGTTAATTAAATATTTAATGAACAACATAATAAACTCAGTATGTGTTGTGGCCAGTCTTGTGAAATCTGAGCAGCATCTACAGAATTTGCATAGTTTCAGCTGAGCTCTTGAACTTGCCCTTAATTTTAATGTTTCCTTGTCTCATCTGGCTTGTTTGTAGTAGTGTCAGATGGTTTTGTACTATTACCAAGTCAGTGTTCATGTTAAAATAAATGAAGACTGTAACTACAAACTCAAAGGAAATTATAAATAGATTCCAGAAAATTAATCTTCCCATCTTTATGAGCAAGAGGTAGATTCTGTAATCGCTCCATGACATTTGTCAGCATACAGTACTTGCAACTAGATCTAGGCGTAAACACCGCTATTGCACAACCAACCAACAGAGTAGCTGCTACAGAACTGCTAGCGTTGATTTGAAGCAGTCCTACTCATGATCCGGAGCAGTATTTGACCACTTAAAACAAGCTGTTCTGTTTAATCTTCACAACTCATGTATGTAGGAATGTACTGATCCCAGTCTTTTTTGAAATCTTCTATTGTTAGAGCAGGATGAGCACACTTTTAAGTATGGCATTAGAAAAAGTTATAAACTTGCAAAAAAAACCAAAAAAACAGGTGGCTTTTGATTAGTTATCGTGCATATTGGTAAAGGGAGACCGGCATTGAGTATGAAACTGTCATCATCGATTAGCCATTTCCACTTCTTCATTGTCTTTGCTGCTTCACAGCATGAAACATATCTAACAGTTGATATGAGAAATAATTATAACTTAACATATTAAAAAGGATTCCTAAAGATGTCTATCCATTTTTCCCTGATGCCCAAAGTGTTGTTTCTTGGAGGTTTCTGTTGGTGGTTGGCAAACAACTGGAACTGCATTCCGTTTATTGCAGCCATGTGTAATGCTGTCTCTACTGCCACCTATAGACACTGCATGGCCTTGTTTATTCACTCAAAAAATTAAGCAGAAGTCAGCCTAATTAAAATTTTCTTTAACTTAATGCAACATTTATAAACTTTGCTTCACATGTTTGACAGCTATGTGGAAGCAGGGCCAATAGCCCAGCGTGTCAAGTGTACCAGTGAGCCAGACGAAACACTGTTAGGATGTTATGGTGTCAGTTACATCTGTATTTACAGCTATGAACCAAAATGGCTATTTCTTAGCATAGTTTCACAGCAAGCTAGAACTACATATTTTTGCCAATACCATACCAGGACAGAGTTGTCTGTTTGTACCCAGGAGATATTTTGTTTTAGGTTGCTCCTGTCAGTTTATAGTTTGCAATCATATGAGTTTCTGTTCTTTCTTCTGACAAGTTTGTTTTTGCCTTTCATTTTCAGGTACAACTCCAAGAGGAGACACTGGAGGAGGACCAAGCTCGGCCTGTAAACATGAGGGTCTGTGGATCCCAGCATCCCTCCATCCCAACATCTGCCAGGACCTCCAGCTGCAGGGCCTGACCGCAGGGAGGGAGCCATGTTATCTGGAGCAGTTTTTGTTTTGTACAGATACTCTGGTTATGCTCATGTTTGACAATAAAAGATCTGTGATCAAACTTGAAATGCAGTTGTGCATCTGTTTTTTTTGTTTTTTTGTTCTTCTTCTCCCCACTCAAACTTTATCGAAACGGTCCATCTACAGGCTGAGTGTTTTCTGAGGTAAAGCAAACATGAGATGAGGAGGAGCCGTGCTGACACAGCTCTGCAGACAGAAGTGCTCGCACTGAAAAGGGTTTCAGTCCATGACCACACGGCAAACACTTGTGAATTGCTGTTTTATGGAAAATTGTATTTATTTCTAGTTTGCCAAGAATTTGAAGTCTGGCTTTGTTGCTTGGGTCAAAGACAGCACAGCTATTGAAGAGGCTTGATCTAGCAGCAATACAAACTGAAACGTTTACTTGAAGTGCTCGAGCTGGGGAGGAAAAAAAAAGCTGCCACGCAAGCAATTACTAATATTTGAGTTGATCCAAGCAGAAATGAGTCAGCAGCAGATGCTAGAAAAAGACTTCAGTGTTTTATTGGGTTCAGTGACATTTTTCATGAGGAGTGACTTGAGTGTCAGTGATATTTAACTGGATGACTTAAGACCACATTGAAAGCAGTATTGATACGTGGATCACTGTAGAAGTAGGACAGTTGCTCCAAACACTTTTTGTTTTGAGACCCCTTAAAGTGCTATTTGTGTGGAGACCATGAGCAGGTTTCCCTTTTTAGATTGTACAACTTAGAAGTATTTTTAGAAGCTTGAGGCTTTTGACAAAAAAGAGTAACAATTTGTGGAACAAAATGTCTGTCACCCTTCAGTCATCACTTTTAATCTTCTTACTGCATGTGTCTGTAATTAGATCCTGAAATGCAGTGGAAACAAGCTTGTTTCAGGAAATTACAAGGAATTGGTGCTTGTTTTTTAGTAGAACAAGGCAAGACAAAAAGGCTTCTCAAGAACAGGAGACACACGCATTTGGAAATTTGATTGGAAAAAGTGAGATATTTTCACTGCAGCCAGATCTACTTGTACACATCAATATCTCTTCTGCAGTGACTTGTGACCCTTCATAGGTTTGAGAACCACACAATAGTGAAGTGGATGCAGATATAATGCAGATATTGTAAAGCTTGCGTAATACCCACTCATGTTCTGTTTCCAAGAAATGTAAAGGAGGGCAGCAGCTTTCTTATGGACGCAAACCTCCCTCTCTTAGTCCGGTCAAAGTCGTTCACTTGTTCCTTCTCTCCTCCGTCGACCTCCTCACATGGGGTGAAGTTCATTGCGCCAGCGCAGTTGTTGTTTCCATTCTTGTTGACATTTTGCGCACCGCCGCTGCTGTGCTCGTCGTCCCACGTCCCCAGCAGCTCCTTCATCTCCGGCGGGGCGTCTCCCTTCAGATACTGCCAGGCTCTCTTTCCATTGTAGTCCATTGCGTCGACGTTGGCACCGAAAGCTCCGACCAGCAACTTGATGACCATGTACTGGCTGTGCATGCTGGCGACGTGCAGCGGAGTAAGACCCCCGCTGCCCCGCAGGTTCACGTTCGCAGGGAGGCCCGCTCCCTCCGCGTACCGCAGGAGTTTGATCAGAGTGTCGTCCTGTCCCCTCTTGGCCAGCCAGTGCAGCACCGAGTACCCGCTGATGAAGTCCCTCCTGGTTAGCAGATGCGGGTCCTCAGAGATGAACTCCATTATGGTTTCATAGCTGCCCTCCACCGCTGACAGCATCCACGCGTGTTCCATCGGGGACAAAGCCCAGTCCGTGTCCTGCCCGGAGCACACGCTGGGGGTCTGCGTGGACAGCACGCTGCTGAAGCCGCTGTGTGAAGGGTTACTGAGAAGCAGCTCCTTCAGGTACTTTTTACGCATAGCGGGAGTGACCGAGGTCCTCTCCGGAGCCTCTTTCTGCAGTCCTCCCGGAGCGCAGCTGTCACTGACCTCTTGCTGCCTCTGCAGTCTCGTCCTACGCTGGAAAGCACTGGGCATGACCTGCATGCCATATCTCGAGATCCGCTCCACAACGCTGGCCTGTCTGGACGCTCTGCTGCCGAAGGCGGCGGGATCGCTGACAGCTGGTTCATGTCCAGCAGCATCCGATCGGCTCTCGTACATGCTGCTGGACTTCCTCTGTACGCAGAGTTCAAGGCTGCTTCCTTTTATTTAGACAACACCCCGAAGATAGTCTGTCAAATTATAAACTGGGAGCCATTTCCCTCCGCTGTAGTGGACCATTCCCTGTGCCATAAGGACAAAGTGTATTTTTTAATGTCTACACATACCTGGAAAAAACAAGCATGACACCAAGACTATTAGGTTCTAATAGTGGTTCATTTTTACAAGCACTTTAATGGATTCACTAGTCCACAACCGCCAATTAAAGTTTAGTCTACCGCTACGCCGATGTGACTCACCTGTTCTTTCTCTAAAGCGCTTGTATCCCGCACAAAAGCGCACAGCCTCCTCACTTCTACCAGTAAACGTTTAGTCCAAGTCAAACGTTACGAACACGTAGTTGCACCGATTATGATTTAAAAGATTTATCCCAAGTACTCAGCTGCAGATTCGAGAAGAGAGCCAGATCCTGCTTTCCTTCAAAGAGGAACTGAGACAAAGTTCATTCTAATCTCAGGCAAAACCAATGGCAAGGATCCTGCACACATGTGACCAGTGATGGACTTCAAAATCAGGAAGTGATACCGAGTATGCTTCCTTCATGCTTTCACAGCCTGTCACCAGTTATAAAGCAGTACAGAACAGATAAGAGACAACAGGAGGGAATAAAACAACTTTATTACAATAAAAAAGCAGTATAAACAAAAATACAAATTAAGTCCAAACAAGAGGTTCTGGTGGAAGCTCAGTGGTCAGCTTGTCAAGTTCTTGCAGAAACTCAGCCAGCTCTGAATAACCTGGAAAGAGGAGATAGTGAAGTTAATGATACAGTCTGTCGGTGATACCTATAGTTAATGATACAGGTGGATTCCAGCTTGAGCTTTAGACTCAAAAGCAACAATTACAGTGGCTAGACGACTCATTTGTGATGGATGGCTGCAGGTGGGTTTAAAAAAAAAACAAACAAAAACCTCAACCTGGGAATTTAGCCATTATCTGTATCAGATAACATTTCACTCACTACAAATATTAGACCATGTGATCCTTGGAGTTTATTTGTCCAGTTTAACTATTGAAAGGTAAACTCAAGCTTTACAGTGGTGGTGACGCGAAAGAGAATTTTAGTGGTTTAAAAAGCCTGGATTATCCACAGTAACCAGGATGTTGTTTCAGCTTCACTTTTGATGTTAAAGTTCTTTTCCTGTAGTTCATTTGACCTCTAAAATCTCATCTGTGTAATACAGTGACAAATTGGTTCCTTAGGTTTTTTTCCCCTATGAAACTAAGGAAGTCCAAATCTGTGTTTGAGACCATCATCAGTACATTAGAATTTTAAAGGTGGAAATGCTCAGGAATTTTGTTTATGATAAATCTTCCATCATTTAAAAAAAAACAAAACAAAAAAGACACAAAACACAATACAGTCATGTTAAAATAAAAATAATAATAATTAAGAACTCCCTAAAACAGCTCTCTAAGAGAAAAATCTTTGTACAGCAGTGGCAGCAGAAATCACACACACAAAACTGAAGTCGTTGGTAGATAAGACTCAATATAAGTTACAAAATACATTTTAGGTGAGGTAAACTTTTAAATGTACTTCATTACAGTTCAGCAATATGCCGATATATGGATCACAGTACTATTTTTCTGAGTCCTTTCGAGTTAAATGTACCTTTAAATATTTCTTAAGCCATTTGTCATTGTAGACAAATGTTGAAAATCCACCACCCCCATGTGTCATTGTATTAAAAATATAATCTGAATCTTCAAATATAGTTCTGTCCTCATCAACAAATGGGAATGGGGTCCTGATTAAAGCTTGATACCTGAACGTCTTGGCATCTTTACAGGTGACAGGTTTGGGAGTGGCTCAAGCGTTTCCACGTCGTCATACAGATGTGGAGCTTTAGGTAAACGGGCCAGTCCAGCCAGAGGGAGGTCACTGAGTGGAATGAAGTCTTCAGGTATACTGTACTTCTCAAACTCTGGAAAAATGATATGAAACTCATTTTAACAACATACAAAGGCAAAAAAATGAGAAGAACCACAGCAAGGGCAAATAAGGCTAACTAACTAGCATGTGCAGGTTCTTCTGTGCAGCAAGCAAAGATGAAAATCGCTGGGTTTCTGAGTGATCAAACTGTTAATGGCCTCAGCAATGTGATTTCTGTTGGAGCTGTATTTTACATTTAAAGCTCACACCTGAAATGAGATTGACCAATTTTCTAATCTGCCTTACAGTACCATTACATTTTTCATGTGACCCTGTTTGGTAGCAAAAAGAATCAGTTAAACTGAGAACTGTTACAACTGAAAGTATCCCTTACCTAGTGGGTCATATGGGAAGAACTTCTCAATCTCTGGATACTCCTCCACTTTGACCTGGGGAGCATGTTTGACACTAGCTTCCTACAGGGAACAAAATATTGCATTAGTACAGTTGTACAGCATTACAGCCTGACATGACTTGTATATTGTAGCTCTATTACGTTACATTCCAACCTGTGGCTTTAGGAGTTTCTTCTCTTGTGTGTTGAGAGCAGAGGTTGAAATTTTATTGGTAACAATCCCAAAAGCCTTACGCCCAGATGGCAGAGGGGTGTGTAAGGTTTTGGCAGTCATAGGAGGTTTCACGAGTTTCTCTGGTGAGAGAAAAAGCAAGAGGTAATAATGCACTTTCACACAGATTTATATTTGTGGTAGAAAACAAAGCTGAGCAAGAAACTGGCATTTTCATACCTGGAGCAAACTGCAGCCGCTGTCGCATCTTCAACGTAGGTGCTTGGAGACCTGCATTTTCATGGTCTGCAAAGATTATATTTGCCATTGTATCTGAAAACACAAGTTGATATTAGCTATGGAAACACATTAGAGTAAGTCACCATGGAAGAGACTGTTCTGTGGCAGATATTTTGATGTATTACAGCAAGAAAAGCATTGAGTTAGGCATAAATGGCTGTATTCTTTTTAGCTTTTTCTGTCACAGACTCTTGTATGGACCACACCTTCATGGGACACTTCAGTAAAACCAAAGTAATGTTTGCAAATATTTGTCAAGGGAAGAAAACAAAAAAACAAACTGCAATATTCTTCTAGCTTTTCTGTGTCATATCATAAACAAAACTCTAGGTTTTGTGCTGTTGAAGATATGACACAAATCACACAGATCACTTTAATAATTTGTTGTTTCGTACAGTCTTTAATGTTTGACTGAAAGTTAGCATATTAAGATTAGTGTTGAACAATTTGAGTAATGTTTCAAATTGTGATGCGTCAGATATTGTCATTTGAGTTGTAAAAGCCCAACTGTCACAAAAAAACAGTTGGAGTTCTTTAAAACCATTGATAGGACAGTTTAAACCCTGGTTTAGACACACTGCAGAATGTAGGAGGTGTGACTGTTTAAAAACAAACAAACAAAAAAACACACTAGGCTTTTGTCAGCTGTAGCACATACCTGAACCAGGTAGTTTACACTTATCATAAAAAAAGTTTCAACTACCATTGACAGTTTAAAGCAGGTTAAATTAAATAAAACTGAATTACAGTGTTAGTTTCATTGTTTAATAGTCTCTTCTATATTCTGAATTGCAGCCTTTGCAATTTGTCAATTGCACGGTTTAAAATTTGATACGAAATTATTTGGTCAGCTCTAATTGATATATTTTGTTATTGGAACGCAGACGTACATGTCACAAAGATAACTGAACAGAAAAAAAAGCCTACCAGACAGGAGTGTGATTTGACATGTAGGCCTAAGTTCCAAAAGCCACTATGGCTGGTAGCCAGTCTGTGTTTACTCAGCATATCATACTAAACATTAAAGTAACAGCAAAGTGCATTGCAAGTAATGGCCAATCTGGCAGTGTTACAGCACTTTATTGTTGTAGCCAATATAAAAAGTAAAGATACAGATCTGTTAGCTTTCAAAAATGGTGTAAGAGTGTGAAAGGATGTGAGGAACACTCAGACTACAAGAACCACCTCTGCTTCACCTTGAGATGCAAATCAAACAGACCTGCATTTTACTATTGACAAACTGAAAGACATGCGTCACCAGAACCTACAAAAACTTACAGCATTTACACCTTGTACAGTTATAGAACAAGTGTCCAAGTTTGTTGAAAAGGTATCCGTTGCCTTCTCCTAAAGCACTTAGGATTACCATGAACTGGATGACTGAGACGACACGGACATGTTTATCTTGTTGCATGTCATCGCTCTAGCACAAGTTCATTAATGTTAAATAAACTAGTTTGTCTTTATAACAAGTTAAAAAGGACACAAAACATGAGATTTAGGGCTGAACAATTATTCAATTTCAAATATAAACCTGAGCAATACAGTTACCAAAGGCTGCAATTTAGGATACAAGAGGTGGAAACCTTGGGTCTAATGCTGTAATTAAGTTTACTTTACTTAAAGCAGACTAAACCTTTCAGGGCTTATTTACGCTTGTGCATTGATCAACAAACCATTTAGCCCATTCATGCATGCTGTGATTCAAATGAGATAAGCCTGTCTTATTATTTAATAGCCACATCTCACACATTTGCAGCATTTCTGATCCAAGGTTTAAACTGCCATGTCAATGATTTTCGTCATTGTACGAGTCACGCTTTTGACAGGGTCTTAAGTGATAATATTTTAAATCTATAACACAATAAACACTGAACTACAGATGTACTGTACGATGTACTGATCAAATGAATCTCCATATCTCAGGGAAAAAAATGTAGTTCGATTTTTTTCCCCAAAATGTTCAGCAATAATCACAATCAGTGTCCACATGGTGGAAAAAAATCTTCATCTGCATGTCCTTGGCTTCATCAGTGCATAGACTTGGCTCAGATGTCATTAGTCAACTGTAAAAGAAGACTGTGATGGAGCTGAAATCTAGTTAGTGGAGTTGGAGTTAAGCATATTTTACCATACTTTATTTTCAGTCAAACATTACAGATTGCACTTGAACAAAATTAAATCTTCCTGATTTATGTCTTAAGCAGCTAATTTCAACTATAGGGAAAATACAATCTGATATTTTCCCTAAATCGTTCAGCCACAGTGTAACTAGCTTCACCTAGCTTAACGTTTCATACCTTTCAGGCAGCATTAAAGCACCAGACACTCACAGTGTGTGTCCCTCAGGTATCATTAGCATAGCCAGCAGGGAGCTCGTGGCTACCTGTGTAACTTCATTTTATGCTTAAAAAAGCGGCACAAACCGGTGGTACAGGCTTACCGGTATCACAACACCTTCTTAACAGAGTTTCATGATAATTACATAAGCGTTACGTTTTTAAAAAAAAGGCAACTTCAACCATAAACACACAAGCAACAGCTGTAACTTACCGTTAACCGGAGCTTGTTTTTAGTGTAGCGTTACTAAGAATACAGCTTTCATTTGCTGCCAAACATAAGTTAGTTAGCAAGCTAGCGAGCTAACACGAGTCACATCGCATCTTTGAGAGTTTCTACCTTGCTGGTATTAGCTAAACAAGCAACAGTAACTTTGAATTATTGATAAATTAATGTTACCTCACTCGGTTGTGCCAAACTCCTCTCGTTGCTTCTTGTTTTCAGCTCACAAAGTTGTTATGGTACGAATGAGTTGGGCCGCGGTTCCTTTTTAAATCCAGTGCCTTCGTCCTATTGGTCGCTGCAGCACAGATGACCTAAATGGGCGTTTCCCTAAAAAATATTGCCATCAATGTGCATTATTATAGTTTATTAATTTATATACATATAACTGAAGCAATTTAAACGTTTTTAGAATTAGGAATTTACATCCTTATCTATGATTAAAGATACCTTTCTTTTTCTCATGTCTTAGTTGCCTTGGTGAGCATCACTTCCTCTCTAAAACATGTCATATGTGTGTTTATGACTGCACCTTTTATTTAAAAAAAAACAAACAAACAAAAACATATCTAGACGTTTGTAAGTTTACTGTAATTTTCTCTCTTGCTGTTTATTAATCTCAACCGTTGTTAACGTTCATTCACTGCGGCTCACCCGCTGCCGTCCCTACCGGACGAACCATGAAAGCGTCCTGCGGGGGAGTTCAGAGCGTAGTCTTCATTTAATCATAATAATTTGAAGGAAACATTCCAAAAACACAAGTATATCTGGTATTTCTAACTGCCACGTTCCAAATTACATATTTGAACACAAATTTTACTGCATCATTTAAAAAAGCGCATCAGTAGTAGTAGTAGTGGTATTAGTGGTACATTCCCACTAGGCCCTCTCTCGGTGTACCGTTAACGGTGCAGCTTCCTTTGCTACTCAGAGCAGCAGAGGGTTCGTCCTCGGGCAAACAGCTTCCACCATGGCGTCAACTGAGATAGCAAGGCAAGCGGTAAGTAGCCTGTTTTACTCTGGGATGCCTTTGTCATTATGATTAAATTAGTCCCATATTTTTATATTCTGTATTCAAAACGTTTGTAGCGTTTCGTAAGAGAGTGTAGTTTGAAGTAGGTCTAGCTAGTCGCCACCCGCTTTTTGTGCCTTTCACTCGCTACTCCATCCAAAATTCAGTGCACCGTTAATAAATTAGACCAGTTACAATTATGGCTATTAGAAATCTGATTTTGCATCTCTAAATTCTCTTTGAATGCCGGTTTTAAATTAAGGCCCACGTCAGTCGCAGCTTTCAGTTAAAATATTGTCATATTCGTGTGCTAACGCCTACAGATTTCCTGTGCTGGTATCTTTAGCAAAATCACCTTACACACGAAATGGCGCTGTGTGGATCATAATGTTTTCTAAAAAAATCAACGTAGTAGGCTCATATTAGCTAATGTTTAATCGATTGCCCATTATAGAGCCATCGGTAGGCCATTCATTCTGAACGCCCCCATTTCAGCACAGCTACGGTGCTCATTTCCGTTATGTTGTTTCATGTAAGTCCCGTTAACTTTCAGTCGGGCGTTGTCTGAATTGCATACAAAATATGGGTAAAACAGATTCGGGCTGGTTATAGGCATTAAGGCATGCAATTTGGAAAGAGTGTGTTAAGTTTGCCTGGGTTTTGTTTGGGGGTGAAAAGGAAGCCACTAAACCCTGAGGGAGAGCTTAGAATAGCAAGGTTTTGCAGTTTGATATCCCTTTGCGGCCCAATGAATGAAAACCCGCTGTGTGTAACTTGGCTGTGAGTGTCATGAAAAGCAGGAATGGTTTCAGGAATGTTGCACTTGCAGCTGAAGAGTATAAGCTATTTGTCCAAGTCACATTACCCTCAGTTTCCCAAACGCTCCCTCAGCTGTTTAAACCCAATTTCAACTATCCAAATAATCCACAACTGCTTAGCACCACCAGCCTGCATGGTTATTTTAAATTGACCCTCAAACAGAATGTTTTTCTCTCAAAGGCTTCGCCACATTGGACAGCAACACTGTGTTATGTTAAGCCACATAATGGCCGGTTGTCTGAGGTTTAGCTGGTGGAGAGCTCCTGCTTTTGCCATGTAATCTAAATTCTTTGCTTTCCTCCACTTCATAATGTAGACGTAGGCTGTAGAAATGAGATTTACAGCGATCGAGATGCTCACCACCATCCACACACACCCCCACACACATGTAACAGCAGTGCTTTTACACTTTGGTGTTAAGTGTCACTCTGATCCAGAGATGGACTGTGTACAAACAGTGTAACAGTGGAGTGATTGGGTGTGCAATCAGCTCAAATTAAGGACTTTAATCAGGGACACCAATGAAACTCAATGCTGACTGTTAAATTAACTCTTGACCTCTTATTTAGCCGTTCTTATAATTTTAGAATAATCAGCCTTTTAATTTTTTTTTCTCAAAGATTTTTACAATTCCGTTGACACCAACAGCAATACGTTTCCATATATGTACATTGTGGTTTTCGAATTGTCTCGACTGTGTGAAGAACAGTCACAGCTCAGGAAGCAGGAAGTGAGTTCTCTGCACCTGAAGTCAGTCTCAGACTAGCATGATCACGTACGGCAGAGCATGTGGGGAATTTGAGCATTGCTCAGTGGTATAATGATATTTCTCCACAGGACCACAATAACAGATGTAAATTTTAAAGCGTTAGATAGAGTTCTGCACATGTTTATCACCATAATGCCTATCAGTGAAAAAAATGTTCAGTGATTGATGGGTATTTATCTGATGCTTTTTGTTGATTTTGTTTGTTTTTAGGGTGAAGGAGCACGTGCTGTACCTCTGGCAGGCCATGTTGGCTTTGACAGCATGCCTGACCAGCTGGTCAACAAGTCCGTCAACCACGGATTCTGCTTCAACATCCTCTGTGTTGGTAAGTGTATGATGCATGAACATGCTTTTCCTCTCTCTATCCTCAGGCCAAAATAAAACATATTTGCTTAGTGGAGCTTTGCCTTAAGATGCAAAGCCATTCAGCATCTGGCTGGCCTTGGTCCAGTCAGCTTTGGTTACTATAATGAGTAAGATGCTCTTGGTTCAGATAGGAAGCATAAAAGTGCCTCAGGTGGTTTAATTTTATACATCAGCACGACTGTTAAAAACATATGTATCATTTAATGTAGAATGCAAGCCTTTAACAGGATTTATGTGGCAGCAAGAAATGTTTCCTTGTACACGAGAGTTTATATTGACAAAAAAGTCACATCAGCCTGACTAAGTGCTGGAATTATTCACTTATGTACACTCAGTTGCCAATTACTTAATGTCCTGCTAAAACAAATGCTATCTAAAAGCGCAGTTTGGCAATAAACCCTAGCGTTATGGAGGAGATAATGTTCAGTTTGTGTTTAAACCGTTTTAAGAGATGTGCTGCTTAGACTTTATGGTCATTTTGGAGGCTATAATTTTTGTTGCCGTTTCATTGTGTTGTACTGTAAAAGGCAACATTGCATTACTCTCTGCCACACACAGTCAAACACTTTAAGCTATTTGAAATCCGTAAAAAACTTTTCCATACGTGTTCTTTTCTGGAGCATATTAAATGTCCAGAAAGCCATAGAAATGAAATGTGCAACTGATTAGTGTGCAGTGGTCTTAATCTGCCTTTTCTCAGGGAATGTTGTTTGTTTTCCTCTGAGCTTCCAAAATGTCTGCAATATTAGTATACACATAGAGCCAGACATCGGGCATATGTCCATGCAGTTCTCACAAATGTACACATCCATATGTAATTTTGTTGCATATTGTATACAAAACAAGAATCCCAACATACACAAACACATGGAAAATAACTTAAACATTGTGCATAATATGTCTGCACTCTGAAAATCATCTCGTCAACCAACTGATCCATCCATCCATCCCTCCCTGACTGGCTGCAACAATACATCAAATATCTAAAATGATAAACAACTGGAAAACCAACTTTCAATAGGACCTTAAATACCTGCACATAATGAGCACTAATTGTGCTCGAATGGTGAATTCAGATCAGATTTCTGATTGTGGTGCTTTATTGGTTTGCTCCACTTCAGATCAGAGGCAAATGTTTACAATTTATATTTCTGTTGATGATCTTGTGTAAAATCTGTTTTTGTGATATGCTGCTATTAAGTGATTGAATTGAATACTCCAATGTGTGTGAATATTTTTAGAAGTAAAAAAGCCAACAGGAGTGTTTTTTCGCACACTGTGACATTTATATTGGCATTTTTACTACCTACATTTCCAAACACTCGCGGCAAACATTTGTACAAACCATTCAAAAAAACTGAAGCGAAAATTATGCAAAAGACAAACAGCTTTTGTTGTAAACTATAAATGCTGTTGTGTGACTCACAGCTGCAACATTTCACACTAATATAAGCATTACTTAAGGCAAGGGCATGTGATCTTTTTTTTTTTATTATTCTTTAAAAAAAAAAAAAAAGGTTATGGTCTCAAATTCAAAGGAGGGAAGCACAACTGTAAAGATGTACGGCTCAAAGATGACTGACAATTCTGCACAGGATTTTTATTATACGATTTATGACTTCGGGAGGTTTGACCTGTCCTTTCATTTTCAGTTGGCCTCGATTTCTTCACACAACATGCCAGGTTGCCTCTACAGTGACCTGACCTTTGCTCAGAAACAGGCAGAAGGACCCACTATATGTCTGTTCATTGTATTTTTGAAAGGAAATTTGGAGCATAGCAAGATATGCTACGAAATCGGCTAACATGCTCAGACTGTGGGTCAGGCTGGGCTGAATAAAAATAGATTTTGTTACAGAGGGAGCTCTGTATCTGAGTCATCTAACAGCCTCTAACATCACCAAGCAGCTTTTTCTGCTGTTTGTGGGCGCTACAAGCTTTTGAAAATAATTAATTTGCTTTGTTTATTGAATCACTTTTTCTGCTTGCTTTCTGGGTTTGATTAAAAAAGATGTCAATATAAACGACAGAGAGAGGAGCTTGATGTTAAATTTGTCAAAAGCTAATTAAATGAAAAAGGGCAGTATAATTGAACTTATATTGATTTTGAGTTAGGACGGTAAAGTAATACACACTGCCGTATAAGTGGTGGTGAAAAAGGACCGTTTTGTGTGATTTAAGTGGTGTTACAGTAAAATCAAGACCCCAGTAACGTGATGCATTTGCTCTGTGCAGGTGAGACGGGTCTGGGCAAGTCCACTCTAATGGACACGCTGTTCAACACCAAGTTTGAGGGTGAGCCCACCCAGCACAACCAGCCAGGAGTCACGCTCAAGTCCAACACCTATGAACTCCAGGAGAGCAACGTTCGCCTCAAACTCACTGTTGTCAACACTGTGGGCTTTGGAGACCAGATCAATAAAGAAGACAGGTAAAGCAGTCTGGATAACTGTCACACTTTTGAAGAGGGAAAGTCAGATCCCAGGAGACAAGTGTCTTTTAAACATCTCTGTCTTTAGGAGCAGCATTGCAGCAAGTAATCAGAAATCCCTCACTTGATTGTGGACATTCCTGACATACAGTACAATGACTCTGTGGGTGCTTGAGGCCATTTGAGCTCAGGTATCATTCAGTCCTGACCTCTTTTTTTTCTTTTTTTAAGAGGATGTGGCACCAGGTCTTCATATCAAGTTGTTTTCTCGCTAGTTTCGTACAACCGCTTTAAAAACAAAAATCAGATGTAGATGCTTTACTATTTGACATCAGCAGGATATCACAGCCTCGGGGCTTGTCCTGGTGTCAAAGAACATTTGAGCTGCTGTTTATGCCCGTGAGATTTTGTTTCCAAACATTCCCTTCAAAATGTATTTGCTAACTGTGCTCCCGAGGTAAGTAAAGGAAGTGGATGATATCATGTGAACAGCAACTCTGTAAGCTCTCTATAATGGAAATGCTGTGGTTGTTTGCAGTTTTTACACTATTCAAATTGAAAATCGCAGAGGAAGTAACTTGGGCTTACTGCATTTTACACAATCACACACTTGTGGTCATGTGAACTGCTTCAGGCACAATATTCTACAGTGTATGTGCAGGCTGTGTTTCATGTGTTGTGGATGTCGTCTGAAGTTTCCTGTAGTTGCTTGGGGTCAACATCGAGCTCATGTTTATTTTCTAAAGCAAATTTTTTTTAGTTAATGTTGAAATAATTATTTTATTACTCAAGTGACTTGAAACTAATGACAGTTATGAAAAACAGTTTGTCTTTCCAGTCATATAAACCCCAAACATTCGGTGGTTAGGGCTTCTCAAATGGATGCAACCCTTTGGAGGTTTGGGTCATTTAGGGCTCAGGCTGCTCCTTCACTCCAAGCGAGACAATCTATTCTCACAGATATCAAAAGTGACGATCAATTCGGTCATCTTGTTCAGTTAAAAATTAATAGTGTGTACCAGGAAGTTGCTCTCAAATGGCTGATAAAGTGAATACCAGGCATAAACTGGGAGACGTTCCATGGTGTCTGAGTTCACAGAAGGAAGCAGTTGTGACATCAATACTTGACGGATATTTGACAGTACAGAATGTTAATAGTAACAATAAATGAACAGTGGGTTATTTATGCCTGGCTAGTCTTTCTATCCTGCAGTGGCTTTTCAGTGATCTAGATGGGGACATATTTTTACTCATGGTAGCTGATCATCTGATCCCAAATGCCCTGTAAAGATGAATGGTGTTTACTGAAGTTATTGAGTCTAGACTGGAGGCTACACAGTGGATTATGGGATGCTACTGGCCTCAAAGAATACTGTGTCTGTTTCTTGTAAACTCAAAATTTGTTCGAAAGATGTCTACATTTTTTGGCTACAGAGGGAAGATTCTTTACACTTTGACACTTTTGATATACTATGAGGCTTTCCACAGATACAGATGACTGTAGTGCTGTAATAATTAGTCAGTCTTCTGGAATTTAGCATGAAGTATTTAGATATTTTCTATGTTTTTCTTCAGTAAAATTCCTAGCAACTGCTGGTTCCACTTACTCAGATGTGCAGATTTAATGTTTGTTCTTTGCAATCTATCACTGTAAAGTAAATATCTTTGGGCATTTATTTGTTGGACAAATGAAGATACTAGAAGTTGAACTATGATAGGCATAGGATATTCAATAGATTAATAAATCAATCAATTAATTTAGTAGTTTTCAGATTAGTTGAGTGAAAATATTTTTTTTGATGCAGCCATAGATGAAAAGCTCTGTGTAGTTTAGTTTGGGAGCAAAGTGTTTATAAAGCAGTACATGGGCAAAAGACAGAAATGCTCAAAGTGCATCCCTGTCTCACCTGTCTTGACAGCTACAAGTCGATTGTGGAGTTCATTGATGCCCAGTTTGAAGCATATCTACAGGAGGAGCTCAAGATCAAGCGCACGCTACACAGCTACCACGACACCCGTATCCACGCCTGCCTGTACTTCATCGCTCCAACGGGACACTCGCTCAAATCCCTGGACTTGGTCACCATGAAAAAACTTGATAGCAAGGTGAGGTTTGCTTCATTCGGTCACATTGTTTTTATCAGCCAGATGCCGTTTTATGCCTTAAAGTTTCCAATAGAATTAGTTTTGATGATGTTTAAGAGAGCTTTCCATCAGTTCCAGACCAGTTCCATCTAGTGTTACAGTTTAACAATGACTCTTGTCATACAACCGCATTATACAGTTAATTTGCTGTTGTACAGAATATCCGCATTTAAGGCTGTGATGTCCATGTTGTTATTTTTAGCATTCAGTTCGCACAGTTGCACTGCAGCTGTATGATGTTAAATAATGCCTGTTGTAATGCTTATAAACACTCTTACTGCTGCTTGTCATAGATGCACTGGAGGTAAATCCTTTGGCACTGCATGACTGTTTGCAGCATTTGATCTGTCTGCTCTAGTCACGGGTCATAAACCTTTTCCAGGCCATCTGCCTAAATGCAAATTGGCTCTGGTCTTGTTCCTGCGCCGGTGTAGGTCAGCTGTGAAATTCAGTCTGCTCTGTGACTGCAGCCTCGGTTTTGTGAGTTCCTTTCCCTTGTAGCTTATTTGCATGGACCTCCTGGCTTTTGTACAAAGAGCCGGCTCAGTGTTTGCCAGAGCAGCTGTGCCTTCCAGCAAGCACTTACAGCAGTGTGATCCAGAGCAGGGCATCCTCTGTTTATACATTCACCTAGAGGGGCATTCAAACAGTGCTGTGCTTAAGTGTCCTTGAGCAAAACTTTGAGTCCTTACCAGACTTTGGGATGCAGTGAGGTATTTTTGTTCACATGACCTGGAGCATCCCTTGCTATTAGTTAAAGGGGCCCATGTTTGGAGAACAAATAATTTGGGATTGTGTGGATGACGTGACACTGAGAAAATACTTGTGTGGGAGTGAAATTCTCATTTCCACCAGCCAGTTGTAAATACGTATATGAGACTAACCCTGCATGTTTTTTCCCGCCTCCCGAGCTCTGTATTAATGTCACTGTTTGGATACCATGAATAGCATAAATGCTCTTGAAATCATTTGACTGAGTCTTAACACCATGTTTGGAGAGCTTTTAAGTGATCTGGAGCAGGAGATGGAAGACTGCTGCTCTCTTTGCTGCGTTTACTATTTTTATCTCTGCACTTAAGAATGTGTAATTGTCTGTATTCACAAAGGCCTGATTTTTTTTGAGATACCAGAACTAGAGAGAGGTTCTTTGTGGTGTTGAAATGATGACACAAGCACCCTTTTCTTTTTGAAACTGTTTTAAGTTACTTCTGCAATCTGTTACTGAAAGGAAATAAAAAGAAAACAGTATATTTTAGAATAAACGTTATTCAATTAGAGGTACTGCTTCAGAGTTGTTTGATTTGTAATGTGTTTGTAACCTTTTAGACCTTTTCAAAATACACTAACTCTTTTCTAAATTTGGACTACAGAAATGTAGGCAAAGCATTCCAAAGACAGAGGCTGCTCTAAATTTAGCTTCATATCTAAAACAGTTTGTCTGCACCTTGTTATTTGTGAACCTGCATTAAGTCTCACCTTGTGTCTCAACTACAGGTCAATATTATCCCAATCATTGCCAAGTCGGACGCCATCTCCAAGAGCGAGCTGGCCAAGTTCAAAATCAAAATCACCAGTGAACTGGTCAGCAACGGAGTGCAGATTTACCAGTTTCCCACTGATGATGAATCTGTGGCTGAGATCAACTCCACTATGAATGTAAGACAGCTTTCTATCTCCATCACATGCATTTACACCGTTAATACTGTTTAATTCACAACAGAGAAGCGGCAAGTGGTCGTGTTTGCCATTTTATTCCTAAGCAAATTCAGTGGTTCACACAAAACATTTCTTCATAACTTTTACCAGCATAACAGCATGTGATGTGGAGTCAGGACAGGCATCGTTTGTGTCTGCTTGAGCTGTCAGGAAGCTGCCCCATGCAGGGAGGAGTGTGTTCAGAGCAGCACAATCAGTCAGCTCACTCTGCAGGAAGCCGGCAGTGTGGGAAAGGGCTTGTGTCCACTGACAGATGAGCCAAGGCTCACTTAGCTGTTTATGAGCCTTGATCTGTAGAAATGCCTCAGCTCTCCCGAACTGATTCTATTAGACCGTTGCCTCTCGGCTATTTTTGTACAGTCTGACTACGACTTTGTGATCAGAGGTCAGATATGTTCCTGTCAGAGTTGCTGCTCAGTGTCTGTGAAAATAAACTCTTTTCAGATTACATTAATAAAAAGAAAAACCACATTTTCTTTGTTTTCTTGAAATGACTTTAACCCTGCTTTAGAATGTGTCCTTTTTGAATCCTGGTTTAGTAACACTCTTTTTTGAGTAGTGAAATATTACCAAACCTGCAGTATCTGTGCAGTTTTATCGGGGGACATGTGGTTTACGTGGCTAGAAGTTGAGGAGAATCCACAAAGCTTTCAGGTGCGTTTGGCAGTCCAGTAATGGTGCTTTTCCCCTCTGCTTCACAGAGCCATTTGCCGTTTGCCGTGGTGGGGAGCACAGAGGAAGTGAAGATTGGGAACAAGATGGTGAAGGCCCGGCAGTACCCCTGGGGGACAGTGCAGGGTAAGCTTGGATTATGTCCTGCACAGGAAATGAGAGCATGCACCCTCTTGCCAGAGCTGCCGCAGCTTCTCCCTCTCTTTTTATATTTCTCATCAGCTGCTGCAAACTATCCTAATAACCCGTTACATAACCTCATTTAGCTGCAGCACCCTCTCTGTCAGCATACTATATATCAGAGCAGCAGCAGCAGCTCTTACAGAAGTTTAATGCCACTAATGATGTTTGTATTGATCTGTTATTGACTTATTTAATCTATAGTAGAGAGTATTTAAAGTATTGCAAATAGACCACACTGTCAATACTTTCACCTCACAGGGAATCTGAACTGTGTGAAGTGCTCAGGTTATGGTAATTTGTTCTTACGTCATTTGTTACAGCCTCATAAATGCTGTCATTATCAAGTGTGAGAGCATGTTAGCAGGTGGTTTGCCCTATCTGGCACATAGAGACCATAAGGATGTGGATAGTTCTGGGTTGTTTCTTTTTAAAGCTGCACTTTAAACTTATTGTACTCATAGACTGGCCAGCAGGTTTGCTTGATCTATAAAAAGTTACAGAGTTGTGTGTATATACTCATCAAAAATTCAAGTTCAACGTAACATCTTTGAGTGTTTTGTCAGACAAAAGCAAAGATGTTTAGTTTATTATGATGTAAAACAGAAAAATCCTCTCATTGGAGAAGCTGTAGCTACAGAGGAGGGCATTTTTCTTCATAAATAACTTTAACAATGAAACGATTTATCTGGTTTTCTTCTGCAGAAAATTGGATTTAAAATGTGTTTTTTGGTGTTTATGTCCACATCCAGTGATGTACAGAAATGATAACCCTTTTAGTACATAACACCAACAGGGTAAACAGGACTACAGTTTCCACATTGTTTAGCCAATATGGATACGAACACCCACAGAACTTAAAGTCAGCACTTTCGCCTCACCTTTGTTGTTTCTTTCGACATTCAAAGTGCTGGATGACAGCGAAAACAATGAAAACATATCACTGTCCTGATGCGTATGGACTCCACTGTATAATATTACTGGCCAAAGGCTCTAACTGACATTGAGTCTGTTTATCCCAGACTGGCTGCTGGCATGCATGCGTACTCACATGATGTCACATGGTTTGTGGAGGCGTGGTGCTCGAGTCCGTCCAGTACCAAAATCAATAAAAAAGCCACAGGACATAAACACTTTTCTGTTTTGTACTGGCGCTGTTTGTAAGAATGAGCCTCTGATTTACATTCTAAAGTTACGATACATTCAGTTTTTTAGTTGTGATATAGTATCAACCTTCAGTGATGTTTCTCCTGTACACTTCCTGCAGTATGTTTTGTTTAGAGTTAAAAGGATGCCCTCTGATGTGTTTAATGAAACATGCATGTGTTACTGTGGTCTGTGTCTCTCCCAGTGGAAAATGAGAATCACTGTGACTTTGTCAAACTGCGAGAAATGCTGATTAGAGTGAACATGGAGGACCTGCGAGAGCAGACACACACACGTCATTATGAGCTCTACCGCCGCTGCAAGCTGGAGGAGATGGGCTTTAAGGACACGGACCCTGACAGCAAGCCCTTCAGGTAGTACAGTCAAGAAAGTTTTCTTGCAGCTTGATATGTGATTTTCTTTCTTTTTTTTTTTCCCCATGCTTACTGCCTACATTGGCTTATTTCTACTACAGGTGGGCGATGTAGTTTAAAAAAGTACCACAATAAGCATACAGTAATAACCTCACCTTGATACATATTAAATATAGAAAGCAATTAAAACCTAAATGTGCATGGACGGGACCAGGGTGGAGCTTCCTCATTGCACTGAGGTAAAGCGTCCTTGTGTGTGGCCAGGACCTGGTATCACCAGACATGGACCCTGCACCAGCTTCTGTGTGCACCTAATCAGATCTGTCCCTCAGATCAGGCTGAGGAGTGCATCATTAAAGTCGAGGTTGTGGGTGTTTCTTAACTATAAAACGCCATCGGTCCCTGTCGACCTCAGCCTCGAGCTGACGAGAAGAGGCCCAGGTGGCCGTGAACTAATAACAGAGAGCGAAGAGGCTGCATTACCAAGGAGTATGATAGGCTGCTTCTGAGCCACGGAGGGAGATCACTTCTGGTTTGTTGAGGCAATTGAACTTTGCATTTTTTTCATACACTTTCATGGCAATTTGCATCTAATACAATAAAAAGAAATGATCAGACATTCTAATTGGCAATTTTCTAATCGCTGCTGATAAATTGTCTCTTGCTTATACATGTATCTGTTGTTTTATCATCCAGACCTAATCTCTTCTTTTTTCCTGGTTTCATTTGAAATGTCCTGCTTCCATTCATCACTGGTACCTTTTTATTTTTGTTTTATTTTGTAATGTTTCTGTTATTAATATTTATTCTCCTTTTCCTCTGACAGTCTGCAGGAGACATACGAAGCTAAGAGGAACGAGTTCATGGGTGAGCTGCAGAAGAAAGAGGAAGAAATGAGGCAAATGTTTGTCCAAAGAGTGAAAGAGAAGGAGGCCGAGCTCAAAGAAGCGGAAAAAGAGGTAAATATAAGTGCACCACGAAACTTAGTCTGTTTCAGACACAGTTCCTCACCTGTCTTGATTAACACAGAGCTACTGTTTTTTGTTGTTTTTATATTTGTCTCTCCTACATAGCTGCATGAGAAGTTTGACCGTTTGAAGAAGCTCCACCAGGACGAGAAAAAGAAACTGGAGGAAAAGAAGAAGTCCCTGGACGACGAGCTCAACACGTTCAAACAGAAAAAGACTGCTGCAGAGCTGTTGCAGAACCAAGCCCAGCAGGCAGGGGGCTCCACCACACTTAAGAGGGACAAAGAAAGGAAAAAGTAAGTATTGTTCTCTTTCCCTCTGTCTTTACCCTCATAGCACAGATGCAGGAGACTAGCTTTGGCGGTATGACTATTGGAGAAGCCAGGACACTCTGAACCCTGGGTGTTGTCGACAGTGCTTTTCCAAATTAGTTTCTCAGCACTGATGAATGAATTGACTTTATGATTGTACGCTCATCTCATCAGTAAATAGTTATTAGTATTTTTGTCCAACTAACATCCCACTCATCAAAACTCTGGGAATTCCTTACAAGGAGTCTGTTTGACTTTCATGCTACTCTTTCTTTCTGAGAGGCAGATGAATGCTCCAGTTCACACTCCATATAATAACAGAGATTATAGTTCGCAATAAATTCCATGATAAGAGAGCTGACCAGAACTCATAACTCAACACCAATGTGGAAAAATGAGAGGAACAGAGTGGGAAGGGGGGGCGAGACCAGGGAAAATGAAACGGTGGTCTCATCTAAATAGTTGAAAGGTAGCCAACTGACAGCACAGTTTGATGAGTGAGTTCCAGTCAGAAATCATCGCACTGCAATTAAATGTTGCTGTCACCACGAAATGAAATGCTTTGAACACGTGTGTAAACAGCTTTATTACAAGGCTGCTAATAATTACAGTTGCGATAACTTGAAAAGGAGCTGTTGGTAGTGATTTCTGCTGCATTGTGGAAAATATTTCTTCATCCCATCAGTTCTATAGCAGCTTCAGCAGCCAATGCTCGCACTTTTTCAAATCCTTTATTGGTATATCTGACATCGTTGTTGTTTATACCAATAGCTGTATGAGGCAGCGTGTGCGGCTCGTTGTGTTCGAATGTATCTCCAATGTGCTCTTGACATTGTTGATCCCTTCGAGTTATCATGTACTGAACTTCCTGGTTGTGTGTTGAAGCTGATGCGACTCCGTGCCTGTTTAGAAAAGGAAGACGACACTTGCACTGAGAAGGTTCTTGTTGCTTTTTTTCTTCCCTGTTCGTTTATTTTCTTCACAGCCACTTTTTTTTCCTGTATGAGCTCTGCCTGGAAAAAGATTTTCTCCACAAAAAGACACAGCTGTGCAACTTAAGCTTTGTCTTTGGGTCACTGATTAAAACCGACTAGTGAGGCCTTGCACTTGAAGTGTTAACAGAATAACAATTCCATTTATCTGTTTTTAACCTTCAGGCGAATGTCAGTGTTTTCTTCAGTCCCCAGGAGACACGGTTATTTACTGCTGCTTGTTGTGCAGATGTGATCATTTCCTATTAGTGCATGTGTCACCTATGTTACATCCATGTTTTCCAGTTAACTCCTTCAACAATTGCTGCATGCTGCATGAGGCATCTTTTCTGGTAAGACTCTCTTCTTGAGTTACATGACCAACGGAAAAAAAATCTAACTAACAAAAATCTAAAAAGGCATCAGATTTTTTTAAATTTTGTTTTTGAGGTAAAAATGTAAATTTACTATATGCAAACTGAAAAATATTTGGTTTCAAATGCAAGTTGGAAATAATGCATCATCTAAATTATATTTGCACTGGAGTAAAGCAGCCTTTTATACACTGTATAAAGGCAACATTTCAACCCTACATTATTTTCTGATATTTTATAGATCAAATAATTAATCAGTGATTAGAGAGAAAACCACCGGCAGGTTAATCCTTTCTGAATTTCCCAGTTAAGATTCAACCACAGTCAAATAAACGTTTGAAACCTGTTAAATATCGTCTTAATTGTATGCATTTAATTTGCCCATCAAAGTTATTTAAACGTGACACCATCTGAGAAATGGGTAATTCAGATATTTTAGTGCTGCAGACTCGCAGTATTTCATGGTAACATCTGTGCCGATCATATCCTTGAGCTGGCAGTGTTTACCGTCCCCGTGCCAGCTTCTAAATCAACCAGTTTATTAGATCGCCACACACCCATTTGATGTACTGCTCCATCTGCCTCCCTAAATCCACAACAGTGTCCTTTTTTTTTTTTTCTTTCCCCGGCCCTCCCTGATCCTACCCTCCCCGGCCCTGCCAGCGCACAAAGAGCCATTCAAGGCTGAAAAGAAGAAAAACTGAGACTAACAGGTCACACCAGAGCAGCACACAGCCTCAGGGTCCATCTCTGTTCACTGAGATGACATGTTTTGTTGATCCCACAGCCATATGACGACCCCCCCTCCCCTCTCCCTCTTGAGTGGATACAAAAGCCAAATCCACAGAGGGACGTTGTTTAGACTCAACCGCTGGGGAGGGTAGAGGAGAATGAAGACATCTGTCTTGCAATCTGTAAACTCCTCAAGCGTCTCAGGGCTGTTAAAATAGCTGAAAACAAGATGTTGTTTGATGAGCAAGGCACTGAGGAAGACAATCAGACACAGTTTAAAACTCAGGGGTGTGAGCAAAACCTCCAAGAAGAAAAAAAAGAACTTTATTTAATGAGACGACTGTACTTGCACTCTCACCTCTACACTCAAACCTTTTAAGTTGCCTCGAAAGCATGTTTTCCTCTAAATGCCACTTGGTCACTAATGTTGATGTGATGTCACCGATGTGAAACTGTGTGTCGTGATAATGTTTTATTTATTTTTTTAACTCAAAGAAAGCAATAACAGCCCTTCTCTCTCATTTCCAGCTAAGGATTCCTGTAGAAAAAGTGCTCCCTTGTGGCCATCCTGCTGTGAATGAGTTCCCACCCCCATCATCCTTTACAGTACCCTTCCTCTTCCCCACCCAAACCTCATAATTCAATCCTCCATATGCCCCCCTCCCCTCTGTGGAAGACGCTGGGCATTGCTATCAGTTTGACATCACTTTTATTTGCTGAATGATGCTTGTCTATTTTGTGGGTTGTACAAGCGATTATTCAGCTTGTATTTTTATGCAAATTTACAAAATGCATTCCATATTTGTTTTATATTCAGTGGTTCTTTGCATGATGTGAGCTTTTTTTAATATTAACATACATGACTACTGCTGTGATGGGCAGAAATGTATTAAGGCTAAAGAGAAATGTGCATCAAGCAGGGGAGCCCCAGTGTGCATGGACACCGTTCAATCTGCCGTAGATTACAGAGAAGAAAGGATTAAAACTTCTGAGGATCAATGTTCTATAAAACTGAATCACCTTCAGATTAAAGGGAAGCAGTCAATGTAGCACCTTTACAAACTCCACCGAAGAGCAGATTCGAAAATAGCTACTCATTAAAAAAAAAAGTGCTGGTTAAAGAAAAGCTACTTTCGGTTATTAGTCGTTGAATTGGTGTTCAATTAGTTTGTTATTAGTTTAAAATTTGAATCCTTAAGATTTCAATTCTGGCTGATTTGCTGACATGTGGCTGTGGTTTTGACAGCAAGAGTGTTTCTATACTACAGCAAACATGGAGCAGCTACTTTTATCTCTGGCTGTGTATCTGTTTATTTTACAGCCAAACAAAAGTGTGTTGAGTAATTTTTTTTAAATAGAAATTTTTCAGTCTCATTTCATTTTGTGCAAGTTGTTGGAAGTTAAAATGCTTATTTCTTAGATGCATTGTTGATGAACTGGTGAAAAGTTTCCTTCACAATAAAAGCTACCTTGTGATTTCCTAGTGGCGTGCTTTTAATGTGAAGCAGAACAGTTAGAACGATCGCTAATACAACTCTGGCGTGATCAGAAAAATAAAACATTAACTGAATTACAAACACACCTTGAGCCTTTTGACTCCCTCATGTGTGGGAAAGGCAGAGCAGTAACGCTGCAGATCAGTTACAGAAAATAGTAAATGCTTAAAATCAATGCAATTGAGCAAAAATTGGCTTTGACTGCATAATTATCTTAAAGATTATAACTTTAAAAGCTCCTTTTATTATTGCCTCAGCCGTATAAACTTTAGACTTGGAATAATAAGTGAACTGGAGATTTAATTTACATCCCCTCGCTGATGTTGTTTCACTTTAACCTCATGCATGAGTAGATGTGAGCCTAATCTCTTTGCCACTTCTCTCATACCTCATTCATTGTCATGTGTTATGTGCATACTTGTATTAGCTTTCACATTTGCACTTTGTTTTATACCCAAATGTGATGTTTTATATATTAATGTTGTCAGTGCAATTGTAACTTTCTTTTTATTTTACTTACTATGAAGGCACATTTAAAAATCAATCACCATGATGTCCATTGTCCTGCAGGGACCAGTGTTGTTTGTATCAGTGTTTCGCATAAAAGGAAAATTCTCAAAGGAAAATAAAGGCCAATTTTTCACCAAATATTACAGCTGTGGCCATAATCATTGTGTATTACCAGTATTGCTGTAAATTCGGAGCTCAAGTAAAATTTTAATGAACCAGTGGACAAAGTGGGTATGTTGGATTTAAATGATGAAGCAAGTGATTGTTGATGAATTGCATTGATTTAATGCTGACGCCAATGAGCATTAAACCTCTCTGTCTGGAGGACATTGTGCTCCTAAGGTTTCTCACAGCTTTGGTTAATATCCTTGGTCCATTCAACTTAAAATCCTCAGGTATGTTTATTTCCTGATGCTCACAACCATCAGGCATCTGTTGACCTCAGTTAATCGTTGATTTTCTTCGTCTAACAAAAGAGAGAATTGCATAAACACACTTGATTCCACATGATACCAGGGACAACATGGCTCAGTAGAAGAGCAGTTCTCTCCTCTTAATGCTCAGCTCACTGGTCTGTGTGATTTCACTTTCCTTTGCAGTAATCCCTGGCTCTGCACTGAGTAGGTCCTCAACCCTCAAGCTTTGCTAAGGGACCAGCCTTTGTGGGTACTGAGTACCTCAAATGTGACCAGAGGCTTTGTGGACCCCATCCTTCAGGGCTTCTAAATCATTACCTGCTCTGCTATAATATGGGTTAATGTGTATGTGCTTCACTGCTGCTCTAATCTCACCTTGAGCGACCTAACCCTTGATTTATTGCCTCTGCTTAAGCTTACATGTACTGTTTTTGCTGTGACTAACACCTTTTCCACCTCATGTGATGGAGATGACTTGCGCACTTGTTCATTTATTGTTATAGCTGGATAGTATTTACATTTTTGTGCACTTAAGTGAACCACAGACGAGATGATGGAATCAGAGTGGCCACCGTATAATCTCATGTCTTTTTACTTTAATGTATTATTTGAATGATCACAGGGATTTTCCCACCCTGATTCTGTATTTATGATAATCAAACCTAAAGCTACACACTCCCTGATATCAGATTCACGTCTAAATCTTTTTTTTTTTGTAAGTGTTCCTGCTTTGCTATCTTCTCTAACTGCCGGCTTTGTTTCTCTTTGTCTCTTTAGCTTCTTTTAATCTGTCTTGACCACCTGAAGAGGGGAATGCAGCTTCAGCAAGAACTAAGCACCCTTTACCTCTTCCTGTTTTTCTCGCTGTATCGACCTTTTTATTCTCCCCCCGTTAAATTTCCTTTTGTTGAATATGGCCTTATGTGGACTCGCATGGTATTTCTGACCACCTATTGAAGCTCTAAACCCAGGCAGGTCGGGAACCGGGCACAGTTTAAATCTGCTGTAATGTCTTAATGTACATAGAGAGACTCTCGTAGTTAATAGAAAGTTGCCAGTTGGGGTTCACACATTTGCAGGACTCACATGTGGAATCATTATTTGATCTTTACTTGAAATAAAATTGCTATGACCTGCACTATGCACACATCTTTTCATTAGGATTCCAAATTTTTAGGATAAAACGCTACATCAAGGCTTGCTGATTGAAAACAAACGAATGAAGGACAGAAGCACTTAATGCACCGCGTGTAATGCATCACAAAGTACAGTTTAATGATTTGATGTGTAGAAATCTTTTGCTTCCAGGTGTTTTTGAGCATTGAAATTAAGTTAGAGCCATAGTCATGCAAAAGCCAAAGCAGTGTTTCGGATGCCCATGTTTACATGTCCCAGCTGAATACCATGGAGGTCACATGTCATGGCCTTTTATTACACATTGTGCTTTAATATTCACCAGCCTATTCTATATTTTGCATGCATCTTTTTCTTTTCTTTTTTTAAAAAATTAATTACTGCTGTGATCTTTGACCTGCTTGTTTTAATCCCCGAAAATAACTCAAGTTTTGCGGTCTGTTTCCTCCATTGCTGTTTTTCTTCAAAATGGTGCATATTATTATTAATGTATATTTGCTCTGTCCTATGATTTCAGCTCCCATTTTGCCAAATATTAGTATAAGATGGAGTTGAACTGAATCCCAGATAGGAGTATTAAAAAATACTCGTGCATTTATATAATTTATAAGGATATATTTTGTGTATTGAAGTGGAGACTTGTTGTTTATTACCTATGATCTTTGGACGTGACTCTGAGTGTAAAGTGACATTTTGGTGTCAGGAATTGCCATACATTTTTCTAGTATCAGTCATCACCTCTTGTAGTCAAAACCTCTCCCACACTACAAATTATTCAGTATCTTACTTTAGTTTGATTCCATTGATGTACATTTTGAATAAAAAATCTGATCCAAACGTGCTAAGCTTTTGTCTTTCATTCGCAGCATTGTAGCATCATGGCTCACGAAAACGTTTTACCTTTTAAACTTTTTTTTTTCTTTTTTAATTATAGCTGTCTATTTTGGGAGGGGCTCTAAAGTCACAGTGTTCAGTGAGTTAAGCAGTTTCTGTATTGTGAAGTTTTGTTTTTTTTAATGTATTTAAACTTTATTTACCCAAGATGTCTGTTGAGATGCATCGCAGGTATGACCAAAATGACAGCATTAAAACACAAATGATTATTTATAGCGTTCACAAAAAGCACAGGAAAATAGAACTTGAGCCACATCAAGAAACTCGGCTACATTAAATACATTCCAGAACTGAAGGTTTATGGTCTTCACCTGCAAATTGCAATAATTTATTTTGCCAAATAAAGCTAAACACAATAATATGAGACTGTTTTTTATTATAAAATTATAATGTGATTGAAAGTATCAAAGCGCATTATTTCTACTTTACATAAAGAAATGTTGCAATTGTTACTTTTTATTTTAAATTGACAGCTATAGTTACTCCTTACTTTACAATTTGAAGGTGTTTTCAATTACCTTTATCCCATTGAAAAAAGGAGGAGATATGCAGGAAATGGCCTAATTTCACTGTGGTTTATGCCATAATAACAATTATACAGAGGTAAATTGTTCCATCCTAAAAGATGCATGACAGCAAAACCAACAACAGAGTGTGGTCAATCAAGAAAATTCAGTTCTCAACCACACTGGCCTGAAAAGAAGTCTAATTTGGAAATATGTGAGACTATTAGGAAGTTGACCACCTGCAAAAATAGAATGCTGCTCTTGCTTTAATATATTAAAAATTTTATTGAATAAGAGAACATGAGTATTAGTGTGGGGTAGAAAGATGTTTCCTGCCGCGACCAGCTAGCAATTTGGTAGTAACATGTTGGACTTGTTTTTTCTTGTCGTAATGAACGGCTGTCTTGGAGATCTTTAGTTTTTTTTCGCTACCTGTCTCTCTCTCTCATGCCGATTTCCAGCAGTGCCAAGATGGCTGCCTTTGTGGCTTCTTATAATTCTTTTGTTTTTGGCATTATGTGAGAGTTGACAACTTCTGAGTTGTGCTACGGCTTGAATGTAAGCAGGAAACCACTCCAGGCCTTTGCATGTGCAGTGCTGCTTATGACATGAAGTGGCCTCTTATATACCCTGGGAATACAATTAAGCTGAAACATGTCAAATAGGGCATAAAGTATTTTGTAATCAGCTGCATATTTTGTCATGTTCGTTGTATTCTTCAGGTAATATACCTTTAGTGGTACCAGGCATTAGAATGAACAAGAAATTGAAGAAAACAATGGTGGTTTAATAATTATTTTCCAGGTGCCATGGACCAAGCAGTCAAAGCACAAAATCACAGGTTTAAAGTGCACAAAAGACAGATTCATTTTCTCAAAAGCAACCAAACAAAAAAACCCCCCAACTTTTACAACAAACAACTGAAAGTACTGAAATCAGCATTGTAGGGCCCTTTAAAAGAGGTTAAGTAAGGGATAATGCCCGACGAGGTGTCCATTATCAGAAATTAATGGACGACGCGGAGGCGTGAACCGTCCGACGCGAAGCGGAGGACGGTTGCTTCCGCGAAGTC